AAATTGTGGAGCGTGCCCTTTACATACCCCAGATTGTATGATACAGAACTACATGAAGGTCGCTAGCCCATCTACAAAAGTAATTCGGTGTTAGAATAAAGGCAGTTGGGGTGTACTGGGGTCTTTTCCTGGCACTTTCCCCCACCGCTTTTGATGGCAAGTGATAGATTATAGCTGCTGCCCTTGTCTGAGGTTCGAATCCACCAGAGAGAAAGACGAGGCTGTCTGCTCCCGTCAAGAGTTCCAGTCTCGGACCCCCACAGAGGCAGCTCTGCTCTGTCCTGGAGGGTTGCTGTGAGTCAGAACTGATGCCGCAGCAGCAAGTTTTAGACTCTTGTTATTCATTTGTTTCCATTCTTGGTTAGAGTAAGTTGGGAGTGTTATTTGTAGAATTGATCTTTGGCGTGATGGGCCTTTTCTTTTATCCTCTTTGATGATGGTTTCTCTAATGTATCATGTGTTGACATTTGTAGAGCTGTACCCATTAAAAAAGAAACATAGATTTGCCCCTCAGAGTGAGCCTATTGAACAGAGTAGAACTGCCTCATGGGGTTTCACAGAGCGACTGGTAGGTTTGAACTGCCAACCCTTCAGTCAACAACTCGAGCCACCAGGACTATACAGTATGCCCCTCCTCCCAAAAAGGGGGAAATTATGATGTTTTTTAAAGTTAAAGTCAGAAAAAAAATGGACATACCCTAAAATTTTTTTTTTACACTTTGTGAACATCATCTTGCTCTGTTTCTTTCCCCCTCTAGACCGGAAAAGTGCTTCAGTATCTCTTGCCCCCAGCATGCGTTCATCCCAGCGCCCCTGTGGTTTCTGGTGGTGGCCGCCACACATGACCTGCTCCTGCAGGCTGAGCACGCTCATCAGGAGAGTTCTCGCTCAGAGTGGCAGGTTATGTGTGGCATGTGATATTGTTTCAAAATAGGTTTTGTTTTACCAACAGCCCACTTGATACTATGCCTTCCTTCTGTTTGTTTGTGGGTTGTTTTCCCCCACATTTTTAATCTTAACCTGAAAAGTATATTTAAAGGCATCGCTCATACATGTTTCGTTTTCATTCAGTGACCACTTCCCCACTTCTTCGATTGTCAGTTCTCTCTGACCAGTGAGAGGGGCCCTGGTGGTGTAGTGGTTACGCACTGGGCTGCCAACTGCAAAGTCAGTAGTTCAAAACCACCAGCTGCTCCGAGGAAGAAAGACGGGGTATTCTACTCCCATAGAGAGTGACAGTCTCGGAAACTCACGGGGGCGGAGCAGATTGCCCCTTTACGGTGT